AAAGTGGCATGGATCAGCGCAACAGAGGCTGAGGGAAGCTCAGAGAATTCAGAGAGGAAGACCAATGAGCTTGGATCCAGCCTAAAAGAACAGAAGAAACAAGAGGATGGGTGTTAGCCTTAGATATGTCCAGAAAACTGTGAGACTTTTATGTACAGGTGCTTCCATGATCATTTGAAACATACTCGGAGAAATGACAGGGGTTCAAAGTCTTTGTTTAGTATCATTTATTCATAAGTTAGAAGTCAGTCATCTGCCAAACTGTTTTAATGGGATAGCTCACCCAAAATGGAAAATTCTGTTGCTCCTCATGTTTTTCCAAGCCTGTATGATTTTCTTTCTTTTGTGGGACATAAAAGAAGATCTTTGGGAAATAGTCTCAATGTCGTTTTGGACCATACTGACTTCCAAAAACTTTCTTAAAACAAAATATTTCTGTTCCAACAAAGAAAGTTATACAGGTTTGGGACGCCATGAGGGTGAGTAAATTATGATTTTTTTTTTTTGTTGAGTGGACCATCCCATAAAATTAGTTTTACCAGGTAACACAGTGAACTTTTGTAGATTTTGAAAATGTGTATTTATTGTATTTTCTTTTATACGAGACAGGAATAGAAAGGTCATAGAGTGGATCGCTCTCTGAGAATTTGCACATATGTGGTCCTGCTGAGGTTCAATTACTGTTGGGTTTTTGTTTCTTTCTCATAAATATCAGTATCATATAATGTCTAATTGGTCAACGAAATGTAGTTATAGGTTGACTTCCATTTTGTCAAACTCGGATGTACAAGAAATTCATTTTGTGTTCTGTCGGTCATACCCAATATTATTCCAGCACCTAAATAATGAATTTTTAGAAGCCATTTAGCCAATGTTGGCGTTGTAGTGTCTCATGTTTACCTGAGTGTGCTTTTTCTCATTACTTGGAAAGAACAAATTGGCTTACGAGTACTAATTTGATAATAACTTTTTATTTATAATATTTTGGATCTGGTATATGGTGTGGCAGTGTTGTACAACTGAAATCATTTGACCTATGTAACCTTTAACAAATTGTGGTTTTCTGTCGCTGTTTTGAAGTCTGACTTGTGGAAATGTCTTTTCTCTTGAATTCACACAACAGCCATATATGTCTTTGTTTTTGTGACTACCCTATATAAATGCCATAGATTTAATCTGCCTGATGACCTTGTGCAGTGTTGTCATCTGCTTGTTTGCTTGAAAAGAAATGGCAGAAATCATTGTTACTTCACTTGTAACATGAGCTTTTTGTGCAATGGTTTAGTTAAACTGGATTGCTTCCTGATTCACCAATCAGAACTATAGAGACAGAAGTTCAGACAGTTGTGAATTATAACTTGCACTCCCAGTCTGACTTGTCTGTCTTTCTATTCTTTTGTATCTCAGATTAATGTGGCACTAATTCCTCGAGTTTACACACTACCTTCATATTTTTTGTATGGTATTGTTCTTTTTTTTTTAAAGTAGAAATTCTCTGTAATATTTTTTTTATTTACATAACCTGATTTAAAGGAAAAAATCCTAGACTCTCAAACTAAATCCATTCACCCACAACTGCATTTGTAAAGTTTGGATTAAACAGAGATTAAATGTGTACATAATTGCTGATAATCATTTCAGTGTTAGTACTTTTCCTGTTGTGACTGTGAATAGGTTTTCTACTAAAGTGTTATTGGCCTCTGGTATATCTATTGCCTTGAGGATTGATCAAAATACACTACTGTTTAAAAGTTTGGGGTCTGTAAAACATTTTTTTTATGTTTTTGAAAGAATTACCTTATGCTCGCCAAGCTGCATTTGGTCAAAAATAAAGCAAAAAATGATATTGTGAAATATTACAATTTAAGTAGCTTTTAAAATATTTTATTAACTATTTTCAGGATTCTTTGATGAAGAGTTCATTGCTTGCTGAGTTACATATCAGAATGTTTTAGTGCTACTTTAGAAATGTCTCAGTATTACTCTCATAAACGATAACAAACTAGTGGCCATTTCGAAGAACAGTGTAATTTGAGATGTTTGAAATTTTTTTTATCATTAGTAGGCTGTCATCTACGTTTTTGTTTTGAACGGGGTTTTTTTACACTACCTTGCCTAGCCACAGCAGGATGGAGCAATAGGGAGCGCAAGAACGAGGAACGCTTCATATGTTAAACGAGATTGACTCTTTCGTACGTTTTCGGCTTATTCCGCTATTTTCCGCCGAGCTTTCATTAGTTCTCACGGAGTCCTGCCCCGTTTTGTGCTGTGCTGGAAAATGGCAGTTCGGCAAGTTGAAAAGATTCGTGCGGAATGAAAAGGAAAATGATATCAATCCTGTACTCTGCTCGGGGAGTGGGTGGAAGTTAAAAACGCAAATCCAGCCGAGTGTTAAAGATCGCGCATTTAATTCGCACGCGCGAAAGAAAACCGCCAAAGCCTTTGCAACGATTGCCACGGGTAAGTTTTAACAAGTTTTGCACATTGCGTTACTGTACTCCACTAAACTGAAAGGCTAGCTAGCAGTTTCCAAATGTGGGAAAATGGTGGAAAATACACGAAGTGTGCTTCTTATATCATGCAGAGTGTCTGCTTCTAACCATAAGCCAGCCTTTTATTTCTTTGCTAAATTTCGGGATAGCCATTAGCTAAAATCTCGGATTTAGTGGGCGACAGAGTGCAAACCGATATGCGTTAGGTTTGCAAGATGCACATGCATGTTCGCCTTGTCTGATCAAGGCAGCATAACGTTACACAGTTAACATTAACAGCCTGCAAGAGCTTCAGCGCGTGACAATGACTGAGCCTTCGTGGTACTTGAGCAGTATCTGAAATGTTTATTCCACAAACTGAACTTTTATAGCAAATTTAGACGGTTTTGAAGACTCAATTTTTTTAGATACAGCTTATATTCGACGCCTACGTTCCACAACAGCAGTTCGTTATAGTTAATATTGTAGTGTTTATTTATTTTTTTAGCACGGGGATTTTTTTTTTTTCAGTTTTTCTCAGAGCGAGTTTCTTCTCAGGATTGTGCGAAATGAAGTGAGATGAAAACACGGAGTGGAGCTGGATCCGGGAGTGTAAAGTTCCAATGGCGTCGCGTCAGACTTTACGATTCTTGCCACGATTTGTTCGTCTGAGACAAATCCTAAGATTCCTCAGGTTTTTAGCCGGGTGCACACTGTGCGATTTATAATAGTCCTTTACGATTGTTTCTTGTTGTCAGACTGTACGAACATGATCCTCACTGTAAGCCATGTCACACTGCAAGATCTCAGTTGTCAATAATGTCAGGCCGTTGGACAGTCACGGTCGACGCAAGAAAGTTTTACATCATCGTTGATGTGAACTGCATTTACATGCGGGATTGAAACGTTTATGTTGGTCATAAAATTGTCTTTAAAAATAAAGACAATTTTACGGTCGTCGTAGAAGTCACACCGCAGGACTGTGAGCCAAATCTTCTAACACTGCCAGAATTTCGCCAGGCGTAAAATTTGATAATGGTCATTAATTGGCTCGAGACACAATGTGCACATCTTTTAAAAGTTTAACTTATTTGTGGGAACGCCTACTAGCGACCGCCACTGGTGCTCATTTTTCTCAGGCGCGTCTACAGTGCAGCGAAATGAGAAAATCAACTTTTCAGAATTCTGCAAGTGCACCACAGCTCATGTGACAAGAACCAGCTTCACACCGCAAATGACAGCAAGCTCGCATTAATTTTTGGTCAATTTTGGCACTCAAGTGGACCTCACAATAAGAAAGAAAAGATTTGTCACTACTTGCGTTTCATTGCGATTTAGGTTACTCCTAAATAACTTGTCAAATATCCTTAAAATAGCAGAAAACATTTCTAGATATTTTTCAATGCAAATTAAAATTATAGGTGCAAACATCTTAATACTTAATAATCATACAACAATAAGAAATCTGAGGTAGCAATCATTTTCCCTCTCATCCGCCATTAATGGGACGAGTGTGTAGTCCCATCCCAAACTCACACCATTGGTTGAGCCAGTGTTACTGGGTCGGGCTGGTCAGGATGCTCACACAAAGAGAGTAATGTTTTGAAAGCACTACACTTTTTACACTTTTGGTGGGAATGAACAAATGGCTTTCTTGAGAAAATTAACTTATTGTAAAATAAAGGCACACTTCAACTTTAATTAGCAGCATTGTCCTTATCCTATCCTATCCTGTCCTATATCCAGAGGGTATGTTCTGCATGCCGTTCCTTCAGTCCTGCACACTCCAAGCTTTAAAAGGACATATTGTTTGGCGAACACTGTCTGTCACCAGACTCATGGGCATTAGTCAAGGTACTTCGGCCAATGAAATGAAAGGAAAAAAATATTGTGTAAGCTTCCCATACCCAGACAATCTCACCGTTTTCCTTCTCGACACACATTTGCAAAATACCGAGACTGTCCTAATTTCTATATCTTACACACGTCCCATGGATAGATTAAACTCCTACCTCGGTAGCCTGAGGCTGAAGACATGCACAGCACGATAGAGAATCCTGATACTGTTTTCTCTTTTGAACTCCAAACAGAATCCAGTCCTCTGTGTTTTTCTTGCGTTTTAAAAAATCCTAATGATCCTAATCGTTTGCCATAGTCCTGATTAGACAACCCTCATTGAACGTTTTTTTTTTTTGATTTTGTCTCTCATTCAAAATACTCATAAGCCTGTCATACAGGCTTAAACATATTCCTGTTAATGGCAGAAAAAAAGTGATCCACTGAAGAAAAGCAGGATAGTTTCGGGTTTTGGGGTTTGATCACTGCCTAGATACATTTTCTAATATTAGAACGTTTGCTTGATTTGCCCCAGCTTCTCTGGTGATTCTTGAGCACATGGCCATATGCTGCCCAATAGGAATGCAGGATTACCTTTTCCCTTCTGTAGCAACAGTGAGTTTCCTGGCTCAATTCATTAATTATTTTGTGCTCTGCCTCGGTCACAGTGTTTTGTGAACTGCTCTTCTCTAAAGGGGAGGAAAGGATGCGTACAAATCAGCCGGCCGCCGTCCTGCAGTTTATGCCGTGTGCTTGACTGTAAAGATGAGGATTTCTCTCAGCAGAACTTTTAGTTTCAGAACTTGTACAAAGAAAGGACCTTTTCTCTTTTCCTGAATGAACTTCTTCCTACAGCAGCAGTAGCATTACACGCACTTTAGTTAAAATGATGAAAAGGCGGAAAGGGGGATGACGTGTTTCGAAGGGGGTGTTTCAGTGGTGTGAGGATTGCGGGCTGTGGTTGGGTATGTCAGTGCCACGTGTCTGCGCTTGCACCTCTCTTCTCTACACAGAGGATGTCGGACTGAGACCTTAGTGCGCCTGGCCAAAGTGGGGTGAGTGCTGCCCTGTGATGCCTGCGAACACTTTGATGGTGTTTATCTCGATTGCAACCCTTCCACAGGTTTGGCAAACCTTTAATGTGCCTCTTTCTTGGTATATGAGCATAAACCCCTGGTTCAAAGGTGCGCATGCGCATGAAAAATTGTATGTTTTGCTCTTCTGTCAAAAATGTGATGCATATTACAAAAAAAGATTTAACAAAATCAACTACGTACTGTATTACTTGGATTCTTAGTCAAGCATGGACTTTATATTGGTTGAATTTGAAATTTGAGTGACCGGCACTCGTTTAGCAATGCTATTTTTACAAACACCACCTCTCAACTGTGATGAATTTTTGGCAGACAGTTATCATTTTTGATAATTTGCTAAAATGAAAATGTTTGGTTACTTGCTGTGCTATGGAATTAAGGGTGCTGATATTTCTAGCTTTCATTGTTGCCAGGTAAGTAGAGCCGCTTGTTTCTCTATTTAGTTTGCCTTTAGGTTATGGTGTTCAAAAATATGTCCATCATATGACGCATGTATCCATGTATCATGGTTGGTGCTTTTATACAGTATGCACTTTAAAAAATTTGATTGTTACAGTCGATCGTTACAACAAAATGTAAATGCTTTAGTCCAGCTAGTCAGTGTTTTTTTTTTTTTTTTTTTTGGGAAGTCTGACTAACAGACCAAGATAATGCATTTAGACCTAATCTGTGGTAAGCATGTACAATCGGACTACAGTAGGCCTTGGTGTTGTACACTTTCTCTGACAGACAAGTGTATTTAATCTTTGTAATATTTAATATTGCATTCAGAGTGGTCAAAAGTGATGTCCGGACGGGATATTTGTTCTTGATGACCCTACCAGTTTGATTAATCCATCATAATATGAGGGAAGAACAAAATGCTAAACTTGTTTTTTATTTGACAAAATTATTTGGCAAAAAAAAAAAAAATAAATAAATAGAGCTACAAGTTTTATACTAAAAAAAAATACATAGAAAAACAAAAAGATTACAGCAATTGAGCATACATTGATTAGGTATTAATATTGCATTTATTATCTCATTTTTGTGTTAGCAAAAAAAAAAAAATTGTCCGCACAAGTTACCATGTTAAATTGAATTATCACAAATATAACAATTGAATCTAAGCACAACTACACAATATGCTTTGAAAATCTTTAACGCATTTTTAATAATATTTGAATATAGTGTGAAGATGTTAATTTCCGTTGGCCGTTATTCACTTTTGGCCACTACTGTATACTTGGACTGAGATGAAAGCTGTAGCTGGACTATGCAGAAGCCTGCGGTAGCTCGTTTGTAACTGTGTATTTAAACGCACCAATTAAGTTGTATTGTGAGTATTTTATTTATTCTTTTAGAAAAAAAACCTCTGTGTGAGTTATTTTGCTCTTATTAATACACTTCTGTCTTTTTTCATGCAGTCATCACGTTACACTGGGAGGATCACATCTTGAGAGGGAATGTTGAGCAACCTGCTATAAGACGACACCAGCTGATTTGGCGACAGAAATCTCTAAAGGACTTCATTCTTTATTTCTTTTCCGGTTCCTGAATGAGCATGCTGCATTCCCTTTGTTCCATCATTTGGTTGAACCGCGGGTTCAAGTTGAGAAAAGTGGCCTGTTCGGCTAACACCGGCCAGGTCTAAGCCTTTCCTACCGCGCATGCCAGCTTATGAGCTCCGGTCAGTAGTGCTTAGCTTTCAACTAAACGTCCTACCGTACGACATCATTCGTACCCTCGCAAAGTTTCACCCCCGGTCCGACACTCTTCTGCCAGCGGTGATCGTCATTTCATACTCTGAAAATGGCTGCTGATGGCTTCCAGTACAGATCTCTGTACGCCTACTGTAAGGACTGGGAGGATGACATTGACCTTGAGCCCGGTGATATCCTGACGGTGGACAAGGCGTCTCTGCTGTCACTGGGCATCAAAGAGGGAGATGAGCAGCACCCGGAATGCATCGGCTGGATCTTAGGGTTTAACGAGCGTACCAAACAGAGGGGAGACTTTCCGGGTACGTACGTGCAGTATGTGGGACCTGTGAAAATGTCTATGCCGTCCTGCCAGCCTCGTTCTCAGAGACCGCTTCCTGCTGTTCCCAGACCTGAGCCAACTTTGCAGGGTAAGACTGGGCTGCTTTTTTTTCGGCTTTTACTGTGTTGACCAATGACTAACCTGCTTAATGCGTGCTAAAGAGAGGTCAAAAACGTTTTGTTTTGGGAATTGACTGATATGCTTGTTAAATTAAATCTCAGATCTCTCATGATAAACAGTTGTGGAAAAATCTTTAAAGGGGCTATATGTAGATTTCAAAAATCCTTGTTTTTAGCGACACCAGTGGCCATTTTGTCAACAGATGAGGTAGTTAAAATGAATAATTATAAATTATTTGAAACTACAGAACAATCCGGGCCGCGGTCTGGTTCCGGACCATGGTTTGGTTATGCAGAACATAATTACGGTGTTTTACTGTACCTACAATTTAAAAGTGAGGAGCGCATTGAAACAATGGAACGGTTCACACCAAAAGCGCTCGGCCGTTGACGGTAATGGTCTTTCAGCGTATAATCATATATTAATATTAATAATATATATTATCAAGAGCTAAACGCACTTCATTCAAGCCCTTTCCGTTCTGTGCGCATCACTTCTTCTTTCTCCTGCTGAAGACATAAAGCGCCACATTAAGAGCTGAAGATGATGCGGTCGTTTTTAACAACAGTAACAGAAACATGGTCTGCAGCTAAATAGATACTTTTTGCTAAAACGCTGACAAAAAAACAAATAGTACAGCACTGTTTTCACAGGATTGTAAATGTTCATTTTTTTATCATTAACATTATTCATTTTTAGCATTTAGTCATTTATTTGTTATAAACACTTTAAGTGGGTTATTAAAAAGTGTCAATTACATTTTTTTTTTTAAAACACATGCAGAATGTTGACGTTCTATTAACGGCTACTCCGCTTTACTCCTGAGCACTAGTCCACTTTTGGTGTTGTGTAAACTAGACAGGTTTTTATGTTCATTTTTATTTACTGTCACTGTGCAGGCTCTTTTGTTGTATGACCGTGTTAACAGCTCAATAACTTAATCTTAAGTTATGTCCTGTAGACCGGTACAAAACAGCACCCCCATTCGAAAACATCTTCCTGCGCTTCTGCACATAGGTCTGTAAATGTAAAATAATGAATATAATACCCTGATAAAACATCTGATCTAACCTGACCTTTTTCCAGCTGCCATACCACAGAGAAAGAAACTGCCACAATATTAGCTATTCTCCGAATAGCAGTGTTTTTTTTTATCAATCAACCATAGCTGGTCACGGTGTGCCGCCCTCGCCATCTTTCCATTCACTTCACTTTTGCTATTTAACCAGAGCTAATGAGATAAATGCTGAGACGAATGCGTCTCATGTGGTGTTTGTCAATGCGCCTTTGGAGAGAAGTGAAAGTGACCACTCGGCTAGTATCGATACTTTGGGAATTAGGGGCCAAGCCCCGAAAGTGTTGAGGCGCCTATTGTTAGTAATGGTACCGTTTAGATATTTCAGTATCGATATTTTTGACAACACTAGAAGGTAATATTGAGACCGGAACACTAATTGGAATTTTAATTTAATACCCCTGCTATATAGATCTTGATATGTGAGACAGACTATAGTTTGAATTAATCCCTTTTCTTTGCATGACACATTGACATTACAGTACAGAATGCCTCTTTCAGCATTATTCTGATCTGAACATTGCTTGAGGATTCATTTCTTGTGTCATTGAACAGGAGCTTGCGTAACCATCACATTGTTTTTGATTTTCCCGGTAAAAATGTCCCAAGTCCTTCATGTAAATATCAGTCTACAGGCTTTTCATAAATAACTTAGGAAGTTGGGGAAGGTCTTGTTTTTTTAAGTTTCATTACAAGCTGTTCATACATTAACATTAAAAAGAGGTTATTACATGAACATTTTTACAAATGATTTATAGTGTCTTTGGACAAACTGTCTTTGCTCCTGTATTTCTCTGGTACTTTCCTCGAAACCTCTCTCCTCCTCCCTTTATGCCCTCAGGAAGCAGTAAATTATAGTATGTTTGGAGGCCTGGCAGTTCACCAGGCCAATTTGGAGAGTTATGTGTATCAGGTAGGGCTTTCAGCTTCATCTGCACATTCCCACTCCATCAGGTGATTCTTGTTTCAATGTCTCCTTTGTGTCCCTTTTCTTTGGACTGTTAAAAGTCTGCAGTATGCACTAAAAAGTTGTCATATTCAATCTGTGATGCTCACTGTCTAAAAAGAGAAAGTATGAGAAGTGTTGGTGTACTTTGAAGTGTTGCATTTCAGGACGTCAGGAGGAACAGATATGCACCATTTTAGCGGCTTCTACCGAGTAATATCCAGACCTTTTCACTTTTCAAGGCAAATCTGAAAGAATACAAAGTTTTGAGTATTTAAATATGTAAGAGGTCACCATGATATTGGAAAACATGGAAGAATCTGTGAATTTTCTGGCCTGAAAAGTTAGCTAGAAATCTTAAAATATTTTTTTAGACAACTAGACAGTTTATGGAAATTCATTGGTCAAAACTTTCTGCTAAAAAAAAAGTTAAAGGGATAATTCACCCAGATCATCCAAGATGTCTTTTTTTTTTATTCAGTAGAAAAAAATACACTTTTTGATGATGTGGTCCGTGGTGATTTATTTTCAAAATTGTTTTTATTTACAAGATTAATACCTGAAGCGGGAGCTTCCTGTCGGATAATGATATATGCGCAGGAGCTCAAACATTGGCAATCTGTGAAAAGTCAGTCTTCTCGTTTAAGATCGGACAAGCAAACATACTGTATCTTAATTTTTTTAAATAGGAAAGCACAAATAAGCACAAATAGGACTACTACTAATGGTTATTGGATAATTAATTAGTTTGCCGTCTTTTTCTTCGATAATTGGATAAAAAAAAGCACACGATTTCTCTCTGTCTGCAGCACCCAGCAACGGCTCAGGACCTTGTTCAAAATCCTGCCGTGACACAGTGCGCCATTTACATATTTTTATATTAAATTTACATTATATTAGTCTCAAATCATTGTAAATGACTTCACCCAGTGCTGCAAAATACATTTAGTTTTACGTTCATTTACAGGAAGCAGCTGCTTGAATGAAAATTGCTGATGTTATCAGATTTTTAGGTAATATTCTCAATTCATTCAGTTATTGGATGCTCTGAGGTAAAGTGTTCAGATCAGAGACTCATTTAATTGTACAGTACAATTAATCATCGGTACAGACATTATCTTAATTTCATAATGTCCTTAAACATAAGAATACTGCTGGCCATATACTGAGAAAGTGTGTGTCCTTTGTGCGATACCAGCACAATGTGTAGCCACCAACCTTTTTACTCATCTCTGTGTCCATCACCCTGCAAATTACGCAATTTTACAGAGAATAAATTGCGATTATTTTACTAGTCATGGAATGGGAAACTTGGCATTACCCTGTTAACTGGGGGTTTCTGTGTTCATACATTTAATAAAGGGTGATGGTTAAGAGCCGTTTATTATTACTTAATGTGTAAATTAACAGCAAATGTAATTTTTTTGTGTGTGTGAACTATCCCTTTTAAAATGGCAGAAAAGCATCTGTACAGAAAATGTGATAATGATGTCTTAATTAGTGTGAGAGAGATTTCATGTGATTTAGTTGAAAACACCAACACTGTCCTCACAGAAACGTTGCACAAAGTCAAACTTGGTTGTTTCGCTGCCTGTGGCAGACGTTCTCCCTCTATTTTTTCCCCTCTTTTTCTTTTCCTGGCCTCAGTTTTACTGCTTGTTGAAGTGAACCATGGCTTGGCATTTGTACAGTCTCCGCCTGTTCCTCCTCCCCTGTTTCACAGACTCTTCTGATACTGTCTCCAGGCAGCTATAAACTATCCACTCACTACAATTCTCAGAAAGAGAAGGCCCCTTGAATTTTCCCCCGGCTCCTTACCCTGAACTTTCTTTCACAGAATTAGTAGAGGGCTAGTTAAGGCCTCCATTCTGAGTCCGTATTAAAGAATCTTTCCCATGGTGCTTTGGCCTATGTTGAAATGCTAGGCATATTGTTATTTGGACTGTACAGCATACTTTATCATCAGCACATTATATAGTGCTGCACGATTTATTCAAATTAAACCGAAATAACGATTTGGCTTAGTGTGATTATATGTATTTTTTATTAAATGAATATATGCACAGCATGCTGGTGATGCACGGCTCTGTGATCAGTAGTAAATGCTGCTCCATCTCTGCAAGCACTGTGAGTTTGAGTCGCTTATGACTTGAATTGCGTCAAATATCTTCCAAAACTTGTAAAGCAAAACGTTCATAAACCTGTTGTCCAACAAAATACGACCCAATACTCTCTTCATAACGTCAGTCGAGTGTTTGAAATAACTTCCTTTTGTGAGCTGATATGACTTATCGTAGAATGAGTCACACACACGCACAAGTTATTATTTTATTGTATCTATACAGTGATACAGGCATTCCATTGTAAATATACTTTATTATAATGAAAATACCAGAGATACCACTTTTGGACAAACTTCCCTAAGCTTCCCTTCCCATTTTGAAGTGCGTTTTGAACTCTATTCTCGATTTTGACAAAGGGAGCGAGTCTACTCAACATGTACACCAGGCAGATCCCTAGACTACAATTAGGCCCTGTCCCAAATGGTGCTAAGCAAGCATTTGCGGTCTTTCTACGAGTCCACACTTTCGTGACGTAACGTTACTTTGACTGTCGAGAAGAAGTCTGTTGTGGAGCTTTCATCAGTGCGGGCTTGTGCATCGAGGGCGCATATCGACCGCAAAAGGGGCGTTCGCGTGCACCCTTCTGAAACCTAAAATGACAAAAGCACACCCTACGGTCTCATGGACTTAACGGACAACCGCACACCACAGCAGCCATTGTAAATCCACAAGACCGAAAGTCTATATGAAGTGTGCCATTTGGGACATAGCCATATAGGTCTGCTCCCTGACCCGAGGCCGATGGGGCCTGAAGAACAATTACTGAGGGAAAAATACGTTAGTAAATCAAATAGCCACATTTTAATCGCGTCTCTCAGAAATCAGCTTTGTCAAAAGTAGGCTGCTATCGACTAAAACACTACATCATACACATTTTCTACTAATTGAAATGTGTATTTAAATGTTTAAAACCTTGTACGATATGATAAATGAAGCAGTGCAAACTAAGCTAAGCTATGAGTGACAAAGTGTGATAGCAAGTTGAATATCCGCGTTGTCGTCTCTGTGCTTCTCTCTGAATCATACAGCTGATGCGTCTATTCAAATGTTTTAAACCTTGTATGATCTTACAATTATTTATATAATTATATTTTTTTATTATATTGTTACATTTATTCTTAAATACTATTATTATTAAGTGTAATTACAATAATAATAGTTCTTTCTGTGTTTCATATTTTTTTTTATTTAGCAACAATAATAATCATCATAATAATTATTTCTAAGTCATATTATTGTAAAAGAACTAAATGTTGGACCAAATTGTGCAGCCATACAAACAAGCACAACAAACCAGCTGTTTGCGTTTTAAATCGCACATCACAAATTTAACCAGATAAAATGGCAATTGGACTTCCCCAAATCGTGCAGCCCTAAAATTATGCATTTTATTGTGACTGACTAAATTCTAGAAAGATCCTCGGTTTAATAATTGCTCTAGATCATAGTCTGATATAAGAGTAAAAAGTTGTGAATGATGCCCACTTGGGTTGCACAATATTACATTACTGCCATTACTACAGTATAAGCTGATAATAAATTTCATAAAATTCGATAAAAGGCTGATATTAAAATTCTATACTATTTTGTCAGAATTCAAATAAAACACTGAAAACCAAAATCAAGTTAATTTAGGCATTACAACATTATAATGTGCAGTCTAAAAAGTAGATATTCATTTTGGGTTTTGCTAAAGATTACTTTTAACAATGTAATTAGATCAGTATTTTAAAAGTGCATTAATCTAAGATGACACAAGGGTTCTTTCAAAAACATAAAGTAGTGTCCATGTGATATATTTTTGATATTTTAGTCTATCAAAATCTTTTCTTCTTTAGGGTTAGGGTTAGTCTTTTCTGCTGCACTCTACTGCACATTCAACAAAAAGAAACTTGAGCTTTATAAGACTGTCTAACCGTTTGCACTGCATTAAGATTAAAACATGTCGAGGGGTTTAGAGCTCCAGTGAAAGGAAATGGGCAAGGCCTTTGGTTAGCTATGAATGAGGTGCCCAGATTACTGAATGCGGGTGAAAGTTGTCTTACATAATCATATTCACGGAGTACAAAGACATCATTTTCCATTAGTAGAGCATGGCCGAATCAAAGTTAATGAAGAGCACATCAGAGCACAAGTCAAGCAAAAAGCCACACACACAAACAACTGCAAACTAGTCGAGCGCTTCGGCCTACCAAAATGTAGGCTGATAAATTAAAACTCAGCAAGCAAACAGAAGAAAAGTAGCTGACTTTTGTTAGACAACCATTTATACGCGTATAAGATCGTTTTGCCTCGACAGTGCAGCCGTGAAGAAGTGACAGCTGAATAAAGTAATCATAGCATTAGTTGTTGCAGTTGTTTTTTCCCAGGGTACGTTCAGTTGTAGGCCAGCCAGATTGCAGACTACCAAGATGACTATAATTGGGTAATGATTAGTTGGTTCTCTCTCCAAAAACCAACAATGACTTCAGGGCCACAGCTGTTTTTCCTAAAAGCTGTATTTTGCACAAAAACCCCTGCTGTGGGGTTAACCATTTGTGCCAGTGAGTTTGCAGCTATAGTTTAGTCTGTTTATTAGTAAAGGAATATCAGTTTTTTTTTATTGTTTTGTTATCGATGACCATGCAAGCACAAGCAGCCATTTTGTAACTGACAAATTCTAGTGTCCAAAATAAAAAAGGAAACCGCTTTTAATTTTTTGTTGTTGTTTAAAGCATATCATGTGCAAAGTTCTTAGCAACATAATCTTTGTATTCATGTTGGCTTTGTGGTTTTGAGAAACATTTTTGCCATGCAATAAAAAGTTCAGATTATCTGAGACTTCATGATCTTAACAGTCGTTGGGGTCTGCATCATTTCCTGTTTTTGTTGTTTCATGAATGCGTTTCATGAATTTCATTCTTTTAAAGAAAAAAAAATACATTTAATGGAAAAAAATTCATTATGAGTCAAGAAATACAAATTTCCTTGTCATTTTTGTTTAGTTAAAGTCTCTTGGACTATTTTGCTGTAATTTTACCATAAGATTTTATAATTTAATTTTATATATTTTACCATGCTAAATTATATTTGTGCAAAATATTTGAAACAGCCATTTGTCTTCATGACAGGACTAAATTGTCTTTGACAAAGAAATCTGTCTAAAGTTGAAAATGAAATTACATTACAGATACATCCTAACTTAGAATCTCGTCAGTAACCATGGTAACTTGACTTTGGAAATAGAAATCATAATTCAAAAGTTAAGTTATGAAGTCTCTGTAATGCGTCCCTAGGAATAGGATATAGATATAATATGGATTTAGGATAGGACATGGATTCACGTTGAGGTAACTGTGAGATGAGGAAAGATTGAGGGCGGAAGAGGCAGGCTTCGTGTCCGTAAGAGGGAACAGTGAGCCGAGTTCCATGTTTAACACATGCAGTGGAAAAGAGGAATGTGCTGACATTGGCACTTCGTCTAAACTCCAAAATTAATAATCAGACGTGGTTTAGCCTTGCACTGCCAGGAGGCGAAGGCAGCCAAGCTCTGGCCTCTTTGTGGTGGGCCTGAAAAGGAGGGTCTGGCACATGGCCAGTGGGGTTTTGCTTGTTCAGGATTTTTGATTAAATCGTTTATTGTGCTCCACTCACGCAAGGGGCCAAGGCAGTGCTCGCTCCAGAAGGGGTGGATAAGACAGAAGGAAACGGAGGGCTTTTTTCACCAGCTCTAAGCTTTTGTATGATAAAGACATTTTTTTTCTCTGTTTTCTTCTGTGTAGCTCCATCCATGCGTTTTTTTTTAACACAATATTTTACTATTTAATTTTGAGATGTGTGGTGCTAATGTCTACTTAATGTTATTCTAAACAATTTTTGAATGAATTCAAGAGTTACATTTAAACAAATTACTCAAATCTGTCTGCACTTGCTCTTAAACGTTTAATCTTGTTTTATTTTTGTATATGTGTGTGTGTAATCTGTTTTATGTAGTTATGTATATTGTGTGCTGCTATTTTGGCCAGGGCTCACTTGTAAATGAGATATTTATATCAATGTGATTATTTCCATCATGGTTAAATAAAGGTTTAAAAAAGAGAGGGTTTTTAAACCAATAGAACAAACAAGGAAGGAAGCACAATAAAAAAACTATATGCAATTATACATCCCACATTCAACACAGTCATCATCACACCCCTTAGACTGAAGAGAAGGGGGAGATGTGGCCTGGGTTGAGTTTAGCACAGGCTCTGAAGTCTGAGATGCAAAAATACACAGATTGTATAGAATAGCCTTCTCATTAAATCACATCAACAGCATTCGCCGCTAGACAGTTGCTGCTTTTGGCAGCTTTAGTATTCCACGAAGGACTGCACATTTAGCGCTATATTTAAAAAAGGTAACGGGCAAGTCAAAGTCAAATTTAAAACATTGGCCTCAGGACACTGAGTCACAACAGTAGGTAGAGAAGGCTGTAATCTTGCAAACCACAATTCAAAAATGAGAAAGAAGAGTGCCAGAGTAAATGCTGGTGTTAAGGCACATTTTACTTAAAGGACAAGTTCAGTTTTTTACACTTAAAGCCCTGTTTTAAGATCGTTTCTGATGAAATAGAACAGTTAAGATTGAAATTTGGACATGCTGCTGGCCCGACAATTTTCGGTTTCTGTGGTAATGATGATTTTAGTGGTCTGGATCTGTTTTGAAAAAAAAAAATGCAATTTATTAATACAGTAAATTAAATACACATTAAAATTCACAATGATCATTTTTCTTTTTGGTATAAAAAATATAAATAAAGAGAAACCCACTGGTTTTCTTTGTCACAGAAAAACAGATTTTTGTGACAAAGCAGTTTTTTAAGGTTGTAACGTGTCATGTGGTCTGGTGTGACTCCCCAAAACGTAATATATTTCTGAGTTAATTCTTGATATTTAATTCCATATATATATTTGTTACCTTTAAAAATATATTAAGAATGTGAAATATAAGAAGACATGTGCACTCACATGGATGCAAGATGTTAATGGTAATAGTAATTCAAGGTGTAAATGGTAACGGTAAAACAAAATGGTATTAATTTTTACTTGATGGTTACACCACATGACAGGTGAGTGATTAAAAGTAAACCTTTGTTGGAAATGGTATAAAAAACTTTGTCCTTGGCCTTCTTAAAAATATATTTATATATATGTCATTGACCCCTGTACAAAATGTTCAGTAAGTGATATCTTTTATTCGTTGGTTTTGATGTTCATTAAATAAGCTGCTTCTTATTTTCAGCTGTTGTTTGGAAAAACATAAGTAGAGGTTTGATTTGAAATTCTCCTCTTTCTCTGCCGTTTCAGTTGCTCCAGTCCTGGACTTAACCAAACAGTTCACACACCTAGAAACTGCTCCCCCAACTCTTATTAAGTTGGTTGAAGCAATTGAGCAGACAGGTAAACACTTTTGTCTCATTGAATGTCATGTAAAGGGCTTTATTGTTTGTGGTTTGTTCGTTAGAGAACCTGACACATGATATTTCAAATCCAGAGCTAGCAGGAGTCCTGCCGAGTGCCTCCAGCCACAAGAAAGAACAAAAATAAAAAGTTAGCTTGGATTTCTTTTTTTAAATTGATTTTAATTTTTAATATATTTACACATTGAAAATGATATTGGAAGCAGAAGTGTGAATTTTTTTTTATTGCACCATATGGCAGTTATTACCATCCAGATTTCCTCTTTCGCTGTGAGCCGCCCCTCTCTTTGTCCCCTTGAGCGAGAGACTGAGTGACGCTCGGACTGACTGAAGCCGTCTTCTCACTTCTTCACAGACTAAAACAGAGCTCAGGGATTCAGCTAGGCTGTTTTCCCAGTTCTCCCGATAGCATGACTGGATATATTTATATCTCCGGGCTTTTACATTTAATGTTTAGATGTGACTGCTTCTCTAATCCAAGCTGGCATGAAAGATCTATTTTTGAGAGATGAGCTAATGCCTCGATTTTCTGCTAGGTCTGGACTCTATGACACTTTACAGGACATCCACTGCTTCAGCCTCTGACAGTCAACGACAAAGCCTCGCTGGTAAGTTAAATCTTTTGATTGTCTTCTCTTTCTCAGAGGTGGAAAAGTTTTATTCACATACTTGGAAAGTTGTACGGCGGCAGGGCTTAAGGATTTTGATCGCTTTAGTGTTTTTGCGTGTTCTTCTTATTAGCTGTAAGTCTTTCTGTTTGTCTCATTTTAGTTAGCCTGTGTACATTGTTTAAACATTTTCTCTATTTTACTAGGTTGTTTATTGATAACATTGTTTTTCAGCTGTAACATTGCTGAGAAATCATTATAACGTCTTTTACATTTTAAATGTAACTTTTTAGTTATATTTTTACATCGGAAGAAAAAACGTTGCATTAAATAATAAAACTACAAAATATTACCATTTGTACCAGTGATGTCATTTTTTAAACAATTCTGAGATAATAATTTAAATAGTTCTGTTCTGTGTAATTATCCATCCATCCGTCTATCTAAAATACATTTGTTTACTCAATAAATATTATATAATGTATTGTATAATAATAAATATTATACAAGTATAATATTTCCTTGTACTAGTAATAATTACTAATAAAATGTAAGAAATATTTTTATTGTCTTATTTTAATATTTTACAGTGTCTTTGTTTTTATATTTTAATCCTAAAATGTTATTTCCATGTTTAAATTAGATTTTGAAAGTCTCAGACTTTTGAACCCCTATATATATATATATATATATATATATACACCATATAAACATAATCAGTGATATGACAAAATAAAATGCTGTTAAGGGTAGGATAAAATTACCCAGCAATTAGCAACTCGGTTATACTTGGTTGTAAGTAACAACATATTTATGTAACTCTGTGTAACTCTAGTGCTTGAAAGAAGATGTATTGGATTAGATCTAGTGGATTAGTGCATGGATCATGATTTGACCAGTTATTTGTCTTGTGCAGAGCTGCAGGAGTTGGACGTGGGACAGTGGGACATTCATGCACTCTCAGAGGCTCTTATTCGGTACCTGCAGGAACTTCCTGCCCCCATCATCCCTCCTTCTGTTTATGCAGACCTTCAGGCTGCAGTGAAACTAGAATCAGGTATGTGCCACTTTTCACTTATCTGTGCAGGACGAAAGAGCACCGTGTACAGAAAGTAACAGAATTATATGAAGTCAGTGAACAAACAGCGAGTGTCTGCCCTTTCTTTGCCTGTGCATCTGATGGCCCATGTGCTCACGGTGATGTCATTCATGAATAGACGTCCCCTCCGTGAGGCGACGAGAGCGGCTGTGGGAGGCACTGGGGAAGCCTGAAGTTCCACTGCAGAACATCCTGACGCTGCATTATTTGCTTAGACACCTGGAGAAGGTCTGCCAGTGCGCGGAGCACAACGGTCTTGACGTTCACACCCTCGGCCAAATCTTTGGCCCTCTGCTGATCAGGGGCCCTGTGAGCGGGTGAGCGTGATGTGTCTATTGGTTGGAGACAAATTCTGGAAATGTGTTGCTGAAAATTTGCACATGTGCAGACTATCTCCATTTCTGTGCGTTTGATTTTCAGGTCGGAGGAAGATGAAGGGTTTCCTGTGGTTGCAGTTGAGAGACTTCTTTTGGAGAGAATTTGGGAACAAGAGCCAACCCCTCCCGGTAAGTATGGCCTATTGTATATAATAAAGTCCCTCCAGAAAAACGTGATTGTACGATCGCATGATTTAGTGCATTATCAGCCAAAGTCTGCATATTTATGTGGGCGCTGCACTTTCGCCCGCATAAATTGATAATTAATTGTAGTACTGTTCATTTCCATTAAATATTATTATATTATATATACACATACACATGCACTAACATTCAAAACTGCTGAGTCAGTAAGATTTTTTTCAAAGAAATATTTTTTTTATTTAGCAAGGATGCTTTAGGCAAGTTTATTTATATAGCACATTTCATACACAATGGTGATTCAAAGTGCTTTACATAGAAGAAATTAAAATAATCAAAAGAAATCAGAACAATTAAAACAGTTTAGAATAAAAAAATAAAATAATAATAATAAAACAATTTAGAATAAAAATAAAATGAAGTGCAGTAACAATTTAAATTGATCAAAAGTGACATTTATAATTTCACAAAACAATATTCATCATAGAATCCTGAAAAAAAAAATCAAGGTTTACACAAAAATTGAAAAAATGTTTTTAACATTGATGTTTAGGAAATGTTTTTGAGCACCATATTATTGAATCAGACTGATTTCTGAAGGATCATGTGACACAGAAGACTGTAATGATGCTGAAATTTCAGCTTTGCCATCACAAAAAAAAAAAAAGAAATCAAGAGCTTTGTCTTCCCTGTAGTGTAGACATAAACCCTACTCCAGATCATGTCATTGCTAAATATCTAAGCTGGTAACTGAAAGGTTGCAGGGCTGATCCCTGGGCGATCACCATTACACCCTCGAGCTAGACAGGTGGCTCCAGAGACAGTCGCTGTACGTGTCGTCATTGCACGTTTCTATGGTGACGATGCTTGAAAGTAGAGAAAGCAAATGTTGCCCTCAGTTGTGTGGGGATAAACAAAGATTTTTTTTTTTTTTTTAATATTTGTCTTATTTGCCTTCTTTAATTAGCTCTCCCTCCTAAACCGCCCAAAGCCAAAGTCATGGCCTCATCTGTGACTAATGGAAACAACAGCTTACTGAGTGACGCTGAATGGTACTGGGGTGACATTTCAAGGTAAACCACTGATATAATTACCAGGTCAGCTGTTATTAAGATCGTCACACATTTCTGTTAATGACGAATCTTTGTTTGTTGTATCCGGGTTTAGAGAGGAAGTGAATGAGAAGATGAGAGACACTCCTGATGGTACGTTCCTGGTGCGGGATGCTTCAAGCAAAGTGCAGGGAGAGTACACCTTGACCCTCAGGTGAGCGCTTCCTTTGGCCAAACTGCATTTTGTTTAATATCCAATTGGAGATGAATCCATTGCATATGTTTACTGATGTATAATTTGTTTACTATGCATGATTGAAAAGTGGAATGTCTAACAGGGACACAACTTGATCAAAGTGTTGTGTTGTTTATTCCAGGAAAGGAGGCAATAACAAACTGATCAAGGTTTTTTACCGCGGGGGGAAGTACGGATTCTCAGAACCTCTTACTTTTTTATCTGTGGGGGAGCTCATCAACCACTATCGGCATGAGTCACTGACTCAGTACAACGCCAAGCTGGACACTCGCCTGCTCTTCCCTGTGTCTAAATATCAGCAGGTGCGATGCCTCCACTCTTCACAATGCTCAAACTGATGCCGTCTTTTCACGTTAATGGTATAATTTGCCTAAAATTGACATTTCAGTCAATATTTACTTGCCTTCCTAATGTACATAAGAATATTCTTATTGATCGTTTCCATACAATTCATAGCAACCACAAATCGTCAGTTCCCCAAAAAACTTTAGATATTTTAGGGACTTTTTTTTGTCTTTCTTGTATACAATCACCTAAAGGATTATTAGAAACACCTGTTCAATTTCTCATCAATGCAATTATCTAATCAACCAATCACATGGCAGTTGCATCAATGCATTTAGGGGTGTGGTCCTGGTCAAGACAATCTCCTGAACTCCAAACTGAATGTTAGAATGGGAAAGAAAGGTGATTTAAGCAATTTTGAGCGTGGCATGGTTGTTGGTGCCAAACAGGCCAGTCTGAGTATTTCAAATTCTGCTCAGTTACTGGGAATTTCACGCACAACCATTTCTAGGGTTTACAAAGAATGGTGTGAAAACGGAAAAACATTCCAGTATGCAGCAGTCCTGTGGGCGAAAATGTCGCGTTGATGCTAGAGGTCAGAGGAGAATGGGCCGACTGATTTAAGCTGATAGAAGAGCAACTTTGACTGAAATAACCACTCGTTACAACCGAGGTATGCAGCAAAGCGTTTGTGTAGCCACAACACGCACAACCTTGAGGCGGATGGGCTACAACAGCAGAAGACCCCACCGGGTACCACTCATCTCCACTAAAAATAGGAAAAAGTGGCTACAATTTGCAAGAGCTCACCAAAATTTGACAGTTGAAGACTGGAAAAATGTTGCCTGGTTTGATGAGCCTCGATTTCTGTTGAGACATTCAGATGGTAGAGTCAGAAGTTGGCGTAAACAGAATGAGGACATGGATCCATCATGCCTTTTTACCACTGTGCAAGCTGGTGGTGGTGGTGTAATGGTGTGGGGGGTGTTTTCTTGGCACACTTTAGGCCCCTTAGTGCCAATCGGGCATAGTTTAAATGCCACGGCCTACCTGATCATTGTTTCTGATCATGTCCATCCCTTTATGGCCACCATGTCCCCATCCTCTGATGGCTACTTCCAGCATGATAATGCACCATGTCACAAAGCTCGAATCATTTCAAATTGGTTTCTTGAACATGACAATGAGTTCACTGTACTAAAATGGCCCCCACAGTCACCAGATCTCAAACCAATAGATCTTTGGGATGTGATGGAACGGGAGCTTCGTGCCCTGGATGAGCATCCCACAAATCGCCATCAACTGCAAGATGCTATCCTATCAATATCGGCAAACATTTCTAAAGAATGCTTTCAGCACCTTGTTGAATCAATGCCACGTAGAATTAAGGCAGTTCTGATGGCGAAAGGGGGTCAAATACAGTATTAGTATGGTGTTCCTAATAATCCTTTAGGTGAGTGTATAATAATATATAAAACTACATTTGTTATTAGAATTAATCCCCAACTTTAAGAAATGATGCAAGACCCCTGCATGTTGTTTTGAACTCAATAGTAGAGATGCACCAATACTAAATTTCTCTGCAGATAACAATAGCCGATTATTTAGAAAGATATCTGTCGATACAGATTAGTTTGATTTTCTTAAGGAGGAAAAAAAAAACTCCCAACTAATGCTGTGTAAACTGTTCAGGAAGGCTTGTGAACACATTTTCTTGTGCTCTGCAGGATCAGGTGGTGAAAGAGGACAGTATTGAGGCGGTAGGAGAGCAGCTGAAGGTTTATCACGAGCAGTATCAGGAGAAAAGTCGTGAATATGATGTACTGTATGAAGAATACACACGCACATCACAAGTAAGGCCGCATTTCATCTCTCTGTTAAATGCGATGGGATCTTATTAACAGAGTCACTAATGGAGATGGTCTGTTCAATCTCTCAGGAGCTGCAGATGAAGCGAACAGCCATAGAGGCCTTTAATGAGACCATCAAGATCTTTGAGGAACAGTGTGAGACCCAGGAGCGCCTCAGCAGAGAGAACATTGAGAAGTTTCGCAGAGAAGGCAATGACAAGGAGATTGAGAGGTACTCTTGTTTTTCATTACACATCAGAGCACTATATCCATACCTGTACAATCCATAATTGCTTGGTGTAACTTTGAATTCAAGACATGTTTTGGCTTCTATATCAGAGGGAAACTTTTTCACTGTCTATTCAGAATTCAGAGCAACTCTGAAAAGCTGAAGTCCAGAGTGACAGAGATTCATGACAGCAAGAGGAAATTGGAACTGGACTTAAAGAGGCAAGCCACAGACAATCGAGAGATAGACAAGAGGATGAACAGCTTGAAACCAGACCTCATACAGCTGAGGAAGCTAAGGGACCAATACCTTGTGTAAGAACAGCCCCCATATATTTCTATTTTAATATAGGTAAAAAATGTCATTTATTCCTGTGATGGCAAATCTGAACGTTCAGTAGCCATTACTCAGATGATCCTTCCTAAATAATACATGCTGATTTTTGCTCAAGAAATGTTGAAAACAGTTGTGCTGGTTAATATAATTTTTTCAGAATAGAATTTATTTGACGTAGAAATCTTGTGACATTATAAATGCTTTTACTGTCACGTTTGATCTATTTAATGTATCCTTGCTAAATAAATAATATTACTGAACCCAAAGTTTTGTCAGGTTTTGTTCCATTGTTGAGTGAAGCCAGTAAAGGCAGCACAGTATAAAAACATTATTTTGCGGTACGCAGGCATTACTGCAAGCTCACAATAAAATCAAAAATTCAGGATACTCTGTACACTGGTTATTTATTCACAGGTAACTGCTGGTGATGTTAACAACACTGATATTCTCTTTGCAGATGGTTGACTCAGAAAGGCACCAGGCAAAGGAAGATCAACGAATGGCTGGGTTTAATGAATGAATCAGAAGAGTAAGTTCTGTTCAGTCTGTCTTCAGAAGTGCAAATAGGATGTATGAAGCCAGGCCCAGGTACATTAGTCAGTTTGGCACACCCATAGAACACCACTTTAAAAATTATAGACAAATTATGAAAAGGTTAAACAATGAACTTGACTCAAGATTATATCATCATAAATGTAAGATTCCACTGTCAAGCATATCATGGCATACAAGTTTTATTCAGATTTTTTTTACCTCAGTTTTTTTTAAATTCTTTCAAATATTAAATTGAAAGATTTTAACTTGAGTGGATTTATGTATTGTTTGCCTTTGTATTTTAAACCACAGTTTTTGCCATGAAAATTGGCTTTTTGGTGATGACATGGCATAAAGATTTAAAATAAACAACAAGCAGGAAGGTTAACTAAATTATCTTATTGCACAAAGCACATACATTAAAATCATGATTTTTGGATAGATAAATCAGATGATTCCACTTCTGACCTTTCAGCTTCTATTCTCTGTTGGACGACGATGACGATCAAGCACATCACGACGAGTGCTCCTGGTACGTAGGGGACATCAAACGCACACAGGCGGAGGATCTCCTGAGAGGCAAACGAGACGGCACCTTCCTCATCAGAGAGAGCCAGACCCAGAAAGGCTCCTACGCATGCTCTGTTGTGTGAGTTACTGAAACAATGCTCTATTTACCTCATCCAGATTCACATTTGCAACAGCCAGGGTTTGCTCCTTATTCAGGCATAACTTTCTTTTCTGTTAGTGGTTCTAAAATGTGTATTTTTCCACTACTTATTCAAAGGCACCGCATCACCAAATCTATATTGCAAAACATTCAGTTAGACTAGAAAAACGAATGATTCTAATGAATCGGTTCTCATTTTAGTGAATCAGAAACATTCAGGTCATACAGTGTAGTCCGACTCCTGAAAAAAAGACTCTTTAATGAATCAAACATACAGCTTTCAACTAGCTGGGACTTCATATGACATGACAATATGTAGTTTATCTGTCTGGTATTTCATAAAAATAAATAAAAATAAATAATTTCTTCTTTATGCAAGGGAAGCTCGGCTTCCCCTATAATGTCTAATGGTCAAATATGTACTGTGTTAACATTTTATTGACTAAAAATGCGTTAGAACACGTTTATCATGAAGACGAGTTTGTTCAGAATCTGCTACATATATCAGGTCGACTGACTCGATTTCCTTCTCATACATTCCCGTAGCGTCACAGTGCATTTCCTTTGTTGAAGCTTAGCATCCATTGACCTCAATGGGAATGCTTTGAACAGTTTTGTTCAGTGCTTCTAAACTAGACTGTCATTGGATAAATGCTGCGAATATGTCCCGCCCACGGACGCTGAGCGTCCCTGGGGGTGAAAGGAGCAGTGGGCTAGCCTGGACTCTGGACTTCTGCGTGATGATTGGAGGGTCTGTCGAAAGACTGCATCTCCTTTTGACTGATAGCGATTTTGTACTATAAAAAGTCACTGACGCTCAAGCTGGTCAAGCTCAGTCCCATTACAGATTTTGCAAGTGTAGTCGAAAGACAAACTGCTGCAATGTATTTCTTGGTATTTGCTTAGCGCAATTGCTAGCCAATTTTCATCATAGATTTCACACAATTATACCCCATATTCCTTGTGTCAGTTTAACCTAATTCCCACATTTCTCCCTGCTGGCCATTGAGAGGACACTGGTCAAGTCACTGGAAAAGACACCTTGTTGGTACGACAGGGTCACAGAGCATTTTCTTCAAGGAATGTTGTGCAGAATTTACGTATAAATAAATGGACAATTTTTAATGATGTAGGCCGAAAATTAGCTTCTCCTTTTTGAAAGACCAGCAGCCGCCACTGAATTTTCCTAATTCTTCGTATTGCTGTTTAATATTATTGGATTAAATGTATGTAGTCTCTAAAAAGACATTAAAAAAGGTCCTTTTAAAAATTTCAATACTTAGTTATTCAATTACAATAAAGTTGTTGATTAAATTAAATGTCTTAACAAAATGCAGCCTAATGGGATTTTATGTTCAGAGTCCAGTGCAGATTCAGAGTAGTTTGCAATTAATAAATATAGCACATTTATGCAAAGCATTTGCTTATGATCTTATGTTGATGAATTATAACAACGTTTACTTCATTCAGTCGCTTGCTTTGTTCCTGAATTAATCAGCCGTTTGTGATTTGCCGCCCCCTACTGCTGTTTTTATTTTTTTATTCAAGTATCAATTAATTTTTTTATATGTAACTAATCTCATTGCATCGTTATTATGAATTTAAATTCTTCTATGTCACCTCTGCAGTGCAAAGATGAATTTTGTTGATACAGATTTCATTTGTTTGGGAACTTATTCTTCCTGATTGTATCTTATTCAAATAAATAAACTCAATTTATCAATATAAATGTATGAATTTGACCTGAAAGATGACTCATTTAATAAAGTTAGAAAAATGCCTTTGCAAAGGTTAAAAAAAATGTAAAAAGTAATTTTAAGCGGTGAGTGGATTCTAATTCAAACACCAAGAAATCAACAGTTATGTTTGTGATTGGCTACATTGCTCAATGCTGGAAAGTCATGTTGTAATTATAAACCTATCCGAAGAGCAAACACAGATGCACACTGGATCGTTTGCAATATCTGTTTTTCAAATTTGCTATTATTATGCATTATATACAAATTTATACATGTATTCTCTAAAGCTGTCAGAAGCAGTAGCAGTCAGTGGTTTGAGTGAGAAAGTTACACGCTAGTCTCGAATCCGTGGCCACGGGAATGTTAAGCCTTGCCTAGCCTTATGTGTATAGATTTAGTAGTATCAGCACAATAATCTTTTTATCTTGCCTTTTCTTACACGAAGAGATGTATAGTAATGAAGTAGAACTACTTAAGTACTAAAATGCTGTATCTGTTCTCTTCTAGACTATTGTTTTTTTTCTCATACTAGTAGATATTTTCAATGAATTTAATACTTTTATTTTTTTAATATTCTGCTAGTTACTCGTTACAATTATGAAAATTTTACGAATCATTTGTTGCAAGTTGGCTTTCATGCTGCCTAAATCACACGCCAGTTGTATAGGGTAATAGTATTGATTGACACACACATTGACAACTAATGCAGGGGTTGTCCTGCAATGACATTTTTTTTGGCGGCCGCCAAAGCAAATTTGTATCCCGCCAAAGCGCCTTATTTGATTGCTGGTTCAAACTTTTGACTGCTTTCTTTAATAATTACATGACACAATACTTGTACTTTTAGTCCTTAAGTAGTACATTTTAAAATAAACTACTTGCAATACTTAAGTACAAAAAATGTTGAATACTTCAGTACTTCTACTTAAGTGTGGTGCTTAAAGAGCACTTCAACTTCTACTCAAGTCACTTTTTTGATAGAGCACTTGTACTTTTACTCAGGTCCGGGTTTCTAGTACTTTATACATCTCTGCTTACACGTTATTATTGTATCAGCAAAATCCAATATCGATCAACTTCATAATTCATATACTGATATATTAATACAAACCAATTTCAATACATGTATATTTTGAATAAAACAAGTCAGTTGCAATTGAATGTGTGCTTTAGCCTGTTTAAGTAAAAGAATCTGAGATACAGGATTCAGTTTGAAATGGTATATGTTTGTTTAAATGGACATATGGTATTCATTTTATTTGTGCCAGTCTCAATTTCTAAAATTTTATTTTAAAAAAACTCACCTGAAATGTCCTTTTTAAATGTGAACGAGGAATTGGAACTGGATTCGTCAAATAGTTTACGGCTCTCTTCCTCGGTTGTGAGCTACACTTCCTTAATATCTCCCTCTCGCATAACACACGTTCTTCTTTTTCAACAGAGTGGATGGAGAGATCAAGCATTGCATGGTTTACAAGACGGCCACGGGTTTTGGATTTGCTGAGCCCTACAACCTTTATGGTTCCTTGAAAGACTTGGTCCTGCACTACAAACACACCTCTCTGGTCCAGCACAACGACTCACTGAATGTAACCCTGGCCTACCCGGTCCTCGCACAGCCGCCTAGATGAGCACCCTGACACGACACTGCCGAGGACACACATATAAAGCATGATTAAGCACATTATACAGAGCAAACTATACTAACACCAAACTTTTACGTTTATCATAGAGAACAGATAAGCACAGTATATTATTGTAAGTAACCGTACGGCTTTCTTGGAAGCCCATAGTTTTCCGTATCAAAGTCAGCTGCAGTAATTACGGTAAGATCACAGCTTGTGAACTCTGTATTTGTTGTCCCAATACGAGAAAGACGCAAGTGTCACATGACTCCACGAAAGCTCGAACTAGTGCCGCAGTCCTGAATATTTGCGATTAGGACATGGGTCAGGAACGAGATGAGGAATTAACTGAAAGCTTGCAGCTGTTGATAATCAATCTTTTAGCTGTTATGCTGCGTTCAAGCCATGTCGTAATTGCCGTAGTCCTGAGATGGCAGCGTCTGATTTTTTTTTTTGTTGTTGTAATAAATAATCTCGTAATTACGGTAATAACATGGCCTGAACTCACCTTTATGTCACTGTGTATTTGTTTGGTAGTTCGCTTCTGCCAACCATATCAATAGATTCCTCTTTATGTGAGTTGTCCTGTAGAAGATGTGAAATTATTTTATATATCAGATTTTGTTGAGGGACTCTGAAGTCCTTTTAGCTTCTAATCTGCCTCTTAAAAGCTAGTCGTCATGGTGAGAATAAATAGCCATCAACACTTGTGTACTTTTATTTGAGATTTTACACCACAGCGCCTAGCATCTTAATGGTTTCTGTGGGCTGGTAATGGTGCTTCCTGCTATATTTTTTGATTCTTGTAACATGAGAATGATGCATAACTATAGCGAACCGTTAAGAAAACAAACGTGATCCCAAAGCAATGACGCGCACAGGAACTTTCACTCGCTTAGAACGGTTTCAATGGGCTAAGCAGGTTATTCAACAGACGCAAGCACAAATGGAACTGAAGATCACCTGGATATGATTACAGATTTTTTTAGGTAATTTTCAGGTGCAAGTTGATATATTGTGGTAGTAAATAAGTCCTAATGGTGGTTGGGCATTTTGTAACTGTACTTCCCCTAGTGTTTCATGGCATTTTGGGCTTGAGCTGTGGCTCATCTTGTCAGATGATACACTGGTCTGTACATCATACAAGTCAGCTGGTCTAGAAAGTAACATTTTTTGTGCGAGTGATCATAAGCAGAACCAGATAGCAAGTTTATTTTTGCTTACTAAGAATCAGTGATTAAATTAGATTTTTGAAGAGGAAGTGGTTTTAAAGTGCCTTCTGCCCATATGTCCTTGAGGAGCTTTCCTGGGATTGGGGCAGTACAGAATGCTTCACTTCCATAGAGTCACTAATCAGATATTCATGCCACACACACACACTCCTCGAACCCTACGACCAAAAGGAGGATCATCCCATCAAAGGCGTTCTGTTCAGTACTTTAAAATAAAGTAGTTGCATCGGGAATAGCAAGTTAGAGAAGACCTCTTATTTGTACTTAAACATAACTCCTATTTGTTAGCTTGTGTGCTTTTAATGAGGTTTGGTCTTAACCAGTATGCACTTTCGTGGAAGTTAATTTGAGGTACCTTTGAGTAATTTTGTCAATTTTTTAAGGCCTGTTCACACCAAGACAAAAATTCAATGTGATAAAGATTTTAATTTGATTGAACATGAATATTCACATGTCAACAGTGCGACAGAATTGTTTGGGTTTTTTTTTTTTTTTTTTCCGCCAGAGAGGTTTTCTAATCTCTTATCCATCGCACTGGGAATAAAGCTATTCAACCACACTTTTGGCCACTGTTACATAAAACTACAATTTGGTGGCTCTTACAGAGTACAGTTTGGTTTCAGAAGTAAAAAATCGCAATTGCATGATCACATCTCGCAATGCTGACTTTTTTTTCCTCTGGATTCTAAGTTTATATTTCACAGTTTTGTTTATTTGCATCTTTTTTTGTTGTTGTTGATATCTTTGAATTTAAACTTTTCTTCACAGAATTGTGAGTGCATTGCATCGTGCAATTCTGAGAAAATAAACAGAGATATGAACTCGCATCGTTAAAAATTCATTTCCTTTCTAATTTGTTTTATTCCGTGGCAGAAATAAACGTACACATATTTAACAATAACTTATAAACTGCTAAAGGATTACCTACAAAGTTGCAGAACAATGAAATGTTGCGTAGTGCTTTGGTACATGGTAAAAGTATTTCTTCCTTTTCCAAAACCGCCACAACTGTCAAAGAGTGAAATTACATTTTTATTCAGCCCATTTGTGGTTTTATAAGCACTGGTCTAAACACAATGTGTGAACAGGCTTTTATTCTGGATATATTTTAATAAATCAAATAGGCTATCAAATACAGATGCAGTGTATTTCAGTTTATTTAAAGGGCAAATTGAAATACTTTAAAACCTTGAAACTTTAAATTTGCCTAAATCTAGTATATTAATTCTTCACTTTTGACATCCTCCTTTTAGATGGATTCATTTTTGTTTTTATAAATCCACAACAGACAATAAGGTTTTAATTTTGTAAGCGTTTTTTGTCTGTAAATTCCAGTTTGTTTCATCCTATCGATAGTATGAAGTTGTTTTGCTATGACGGTGTGGAGTGGAGCAAGAACAGAGTCACTGGTTATGATTCCTTGAATGTTCTGACTGACTGACGTCGGGTCTTTGAGAGCACAGAGAATGAGCCAGAGTGTTGGATGGGACGAGTTTGTGTGAGATAAAGCAGTGGAGTAAAATCCTCTAAATGCACTATACAAGCACATCTTGAGGTGATTATGAGTGAGAAATAATGAAGCTTGACGGTCTTTATGAGCAAAAGAAATAGGTTAGGTACACATTTTAGTCACAGGCCTATAATGTCATAACGCGTTATGATCGTGCCGTAGTGGGTCTGTTATGTGTTTTTATTTTCTTTAACTCCTTTTTAAAGAGAAACTATAATTGTATGTCAAAGTTTTTTCATTGTAAGAAATGACCTTACGGATTCAAAGATAAGCTAGCTTGAATATCTCTCTTCCATTCAGTACAGTTACAAATGTTTACATTATCTAATTAACCAAATAGAAGATGTTTTCAAATGTGCTCTCTCTGTCAGACAGGGATTCTTGTCTTTTTTTTTGTTTTGTTTTTTGCCTCAGCTGTTTTAAACTTGAAGATTTGCTTTCCCTTCTTTGTTCACTTTAAACAGTGCTCCCTCACCTCACAACATTTTCTCTGAGTAAAAATGCAGATATGACCCAGAGCCAGCTCTTTTTTCTTTTCATAGCAGACATATTTTTCAAGTTTCATTTTTGGATTTTAATAATTCTGACAATTACATCCTAATTTCTGCCCAACTTCCCTCTGTAGTCTCAGGTAAATTAGCAGAAATTACCCCTCCCTCTTTCTAAACAAGATATGCCCCGAAAAGTAAGATACACCAGGGCCAATGTTTAATAGACATGTACTTTTGTATTTAGTGGTTATGACATAACCACTGATTACCCTTCACTTCTTTAAACTAAATGATACCTTACTGTCTTGTTTCCCCTGAGTGCATGAAGTAGCCTGTTGAAGATAATGCACACCAAAGTGCCATTAGACATGGAGGATGGGGAGCACTGTTTGTTATCCAGTACATTGTGTGTGTATGTGTGTGTGCGTGTGCGTAAATTTAATGTACATACTTCATTCTCCTTTTATTACTTCTGTTCTCTCCAATCTGTTTTTGGGCGCAGATTTTTCAGTGTTCAGTTTGAATCAGTGTTTGTCTCTCAAACAGGTACACAAGCATTACAGAGATATGGCTCTTTAATAGATAGATGGAATTATTTTTAAGACAATAAAAAGATATTGAGTCTATTGCACCTTCTGGTCTGTCGTCATCAGTTTGGTCTTGTGATGTTATTCGAACAACTGGTGCTTTTACAGGGAATGTCATGCTGAAGCAGCAAAAAGTGTCATAACTCAGACTTGTTGGGTCAGTAGTCATTTGACAAACACTTTGGCATGTGTACTTAGATTACCTGGGGGTGGAAAATCTGTCATAATATAGGAACAACCGAGAGAATGTTTCTTATTCAAAGTGACCAACAGCTGGATCAGGATGGTTTTAAAGGAGTAGTTCACTTTTGAAAAACTTTTGCTGATGATTTACTCACCCCCATGTCATCCAAGATGTCCATGTCTTTCTTTCTTCAGTCGAAAAGAAATTAAGGTTTTTGATGAAAACATTCCAGGATTTTTCACCATGTAATGCACTTCAGTGGAAACCAAACAGTTTAAGGTCCAAAAGACAGTTTCAGTGCAAACTGTTCAAAGGGCTTTAAAAGATTCCAGACGATGAATAAGGGTCTTATCAAGCGAAACCATCGCTCATTTAATAAAAAAGTTTTCTAAGCTCAAATGGTCGCCTTGCTCTGTTCTGTGACGCACGTTTGTGACTCTCCTGTTCGAACTCGTTCATCAAAATGAACGAATCTTTTTTTCTAGTCATTTGGTTCATTCAACGAACGAAACGAATGAATTGACTCGGAAAAAGATTTGTTCATTTTGATGAATGAGTTCGAACAGGAGAGTCACGAACGCGCATCACAGAACAGAGCAAGGCGACCATTTGAGCTTATAAAACTTAAACTTTATTTTATTTTTTTTATTAAATGAGTGATCGTTTCGCTTGATAAGACCCTTATTCATCGTCTGGAATCGTTTAAAGCCCTTTGAATAGTTTGCAGTTTGTACTGAAAGTGTCTTTTGGACCTTGAACCGTTTGGTTCCCAGTAAAGTACATTATATGGAGAAAAATGCTGGAATGTATTCATCAAAAACCTTTCTTTTTGACTGAAGAAAGAATGACATGGACATCTTGGATGACATGGGGGTGAGTAATTTCTCAGAAAGTTTTTTTCAAAAGTGAACTACTCCTTTAAATCATTAAATATACTGACCAAATGTCTGAATTGTAAGCAACAACACTTTTAAAGTAGTGTGAAACAGAACTTCCCCATTATGGCGAATATCTAAGTGAAACCGCTTCTTGAATGAGGAAAAAAATGTTGGGAAAGATTACAAGGGCATATGAATGAAACAAATTAAATATATTCCAAAAATTCCAAGTTTTGATTTCATAGTGTCTTTAAAATCTACATTTTTATAATCTGAATCAGTCAGTTCTGTATTACATTGTTTCTGTTTATGGAGCATTGACGTCATTGTTCAGAGGAAAAAACTGACATAAACAGCCCATGTGATTTGTTTACACCAGTCATGTAAAGGTCACACAGAAACAAGACAGTCTGACTCTGCATATTCATTATATTTGACCTTGTCTGTAAAATATAACTCATTTTAGAACCTTCAAACTCAAGAAGTAATTTTTTTTTGGTCATATATGTTGTGATGCAGTTGTGATCCAGGTGGACGAGCAATGATTATGTCAGTGATCAAATTATAAGCAAGAAATAAATATAATGTAAAATTATAAAGACAACAAACTGATCAAGTAATATAAAATTGTAAGCAAATAGGTTTCATGATAATATCTTAGTCAATAGATAATATCCAAAGTAGTGTATCTAACAGAGATTGTGACAATTGGAATATAGAGAATGATTGTCCCAAAAGAAGGAAGATATTGCAGAATATAAAGAGAAACCATAAACCAAACATTGTATACGCTGTGTAGGCGTTAGGAAGGGACTGGGGAAAGTACCCATTCAAATTTTTTGTACTTCCCTTCCAACCACCAAGGATGCAGTCAAGATAAAGACACCCTAACAGGTCTGATTAGGTCACTGTGCCCTTGTAGGAAATTGTGGTTTTAAGACCTCGAAGAGATTATAGCAGATCTTACATTACTCATGTCCGCAGAGATGAAAACAGATGCACTTTGATACCCTGGCACATCATGCAATCAATGAAAGAAAATGCACTAGTAAACTTCTATATAGTACTTTCTAGATATATCTATATAGCACTTTTAAAACGTCAACTCACGTTTACATTCATGAGAAGAATACATTCATGAAGAGCTATACATACACCATATATGAACAAACAAATTGTAATTAAAAATACTGTCCGTGGCATTACCCGTGCAACACTGAGTTTTACAGTCTGGTTTGGAATAATAACACTGTGGTCACAAATCCCAAACTGAACCATGTTGCCATTTTGATAGTTCAATTGGGAAACTATCATAAAGTTTCACTGCAAAAAAAAAAAATAATAATAATAATAATAAACTTTTCAGCGTAGTGTTCCTCGTGATAGTAATAATATTTTGTGGCCAAAATAAAAGTCTCGAGCATTTGCAGTGTTGGGTTTTGCCGGATTTTAATGACGTCACGTAAATACACCAATCAAAATCTCTGCCCTTCGATATGTAGCAGGAAGAAAGTTTAAAATGTTGTACACTACACATTTCCATTCGGATTCGGAACAAGGCAAAGAGGTGACCAGGAATCATGTTCGGCTTTAAACTGTCTGTGTTGTTCTTCGCTGTATTGTCACTGAGTAAATGCAGCGGTAGGTTTATTTTCTCCTGTAAGTATCCACCTTCACAGTGGTGCGATTCTGAAGACATTGCAGCCGAATGTGGGGTAAGTAACTTATCTGGGAAAAAAAAATACTCCTTAAATTTCCGAAACCATTTGATAGCCAATGTGTATTTTGTATGTCTTTATTAGCAATAATTTTACTTGCACGAAAAAGTGAAAGTGCGCATTTGAAGTAATAGATACATTTAGCAAATTGCCCAGACGTATAAAATTGTGCTTCTCGTTTTGTTTTCCGCTTTTTGGGAAATCCCGAACTTTTTGGGCACTGATCATTTCCCTTATTCTCTTCTTTTTTTAGGTGCTTGAACAATGCATGAAGTTTAACGTGACAAAGCCCAACGCTGACAAAGTGAATGTGAGCCTGTACTATGAGTCTTTGTGTCCTGGATGCAGAGGTTTTCTTGCAGGACAGCTCGTGCCAACCTATATAATGCTTTCAGACATCATGAACATTGATCTGGTTCCATATGGAAATGCACAGGTATGCCCACTGCTGCTGGGACAATTTACCCTTTGTATAAACACAGCACATAACTGCTTACACTGTGTGTGAATATAATCTATTGCTATTTGCATGCAACATGGTGTAAACTCGAATACATTTATTGTATTTGACACAATGCAAATATAGTACCTAACACAACTTGCACAGTGCAAATAGCAACCAATTTATTTAACAGTAAAAGATAAAAAGGCTCACATTCATGTAAGTTACATTAATGTCAAATGATGTTGCTCATAATTTGTTTTCATAATAGGAGAAAGAAGATCAGGGGAAGTACACCTTCGTCTGTCAGCACGGAGAGGGTGAATGTCAAGGTAACATGATTGAGGTGAGATTTTTGCTATTTATTTCACCACTCAAACATTTTAAAAGGAGAAGTGGATTGATGTTAACATTGAAGACATCTTGTTTAAAGCTAAAAATACAGGTGTAATAATTGTATTCTTTCCTGTCAGACCTGCCTGTTAGATCAATTAGGTCTGGATGAGGCTCTTCTGGTCATTTTTTGCATGGAATCAGGAGCAAATGTGTTGAAAGCAGCCCAGCCTGTAAGTCTTCATTTCTATTTTGCATGCTGTTATTCTTCCTATCCATCCATCATCCATGTTGCAATGCAATGCTAATCTGTACCTCCCATCTCAGTGTCTCGGAGTCTACAAACCCGAAAAAACATGGGATTCAGTCATGAAATGTGTGACGGGAGACCAGGGCAATAAATTAATGCATGGAAATGCAGTGAAAACAAATGCTCTGAAGCCTCCTCATGAGTATGTGCCTTGGATAACCATCAATGGAGTAAGGAAGTTTATTATTATTTTTTTTTATTTTACATTTATAAGGATTTTTTTTTTAATCTGGGAAATTAAATGGCTCAATGTTTTTCCTGCAGGAACACACAGAGGATCTTCAGAATAAAGCAATGAATTCTCTCTTCAGTCTTGTGTGCAGTTTGTACAAGGTTTGTTTGCAACCTGAGAAGTGCCTGTTTGTGTTTAATACCATTTCAGTGTCTTATCCTATCAACGAGGAGCCCATCACATGACCTATTTTTTTTCTTTGTGTTCATATAGGGTGAAAAACCAGCTGCTTGTACTCCAGGGTTGAAGATGAAAACCACCAGTTACTGCTTGAATTAATCATTAAATCTGATAACAACACTATTCATGTCAGGAATGGAGAGATTATGTATGAAACATACATGCTGAAATGTATTTGAATATTTTTGTTGTTTCTTTGTGCTCATGTATGTGAAAGTGTCGTTTAAACATGGTTTTCTGCTGCTGATTACCATATTTTTATAGTCACGTTTTAAACCTCTTTTTATGCATAAACAAAATTAAAGTACATTTCCATCACTTTTGAACTTTTTAAATCTCATTTGCTTGTGTGTTAATGATTAAGAGGGAAAATCATTGCTAAAGTGAACTTTACTCAAGAGAAATGCTTCCTCGATGGTTTTACATTTTTGCTTGTCTACATTTTTGCTTATCATTAACAGAGTCTTCACGTTATTTTGACCAACAAAGTGAAAATACTTTAGGGTTTTTAACTGATATTATATTACTAACTATCGTTAATATAAAAAAAAAACGTCCGAAGATCAAGAAAAGATGTCCTAATAGCAAGTATTCAAACGGGACGAGATTAGATTGGGGTCAAACTGATGTGGTCTGCGCACATTGACGCAATCTTGATGCTTGTGAGTGCAACGTCATTTCGCGCGTGACTCGTCATCGGCTCCTTCAGGCTGCTCTTGGTTCAGCTGGTTACATGAATGAAAGCTAAAGATTTAAATATGTAATGTTGGGCTTACATAAATTGCAGCTGAAGTTAGGCCAACAGACACACAATTCGGGGATATCGTATGAACTCTTAACATCTATCTGAGAATATTAAGGCAGATGCATTTCTTTCCGAAGTTAACCGTTACTCTTCTCAGTATTTATCTCTTATGCCGTTTATTCTGGAGTAACGTTAAAGGAACAGAAGTGGCGAATGAAGTCGTCGTGCCGTAACTTGAGAGGAATTTGTTAACTCGGCCTAAACATGATATCTCGTCAGAGTAAGGATTTTCTCATAAGGATCGCCGGTTACTGGAAGCCGCTTTTCAGAGGCAGATTTCTGATAGTGACGAACACTGTGAGTAGTGGGGGAATGTTGGCAGCGGGCGACCTCATCCAGCAGACGCGAGAGACGCGGAAGACCCCCGGGCGAGCACGTGACTGGTGGCGTACAGGTGAAGAGAAAACAAATTATCTGTATCAAACACAAAGTCTGGTTAGTTTAAAAATAAACATCAGCTCATGTTTGTAATTTATGTACCAGTGCGTTACACTAAAAACTTTTAACTTTTTTTTTGTAAGTATCGTGTGAATGTCCTGTTGTGAAAGTAACGCGAGATTAATGAACTCTCGCGGTGTTGCGCCCTCTATAGGTTGTATGTTTGCCGTTGGATGCTCTATGGGTCCTTTCATGCATTATTGGTACCTGTGGCTCGACAAATACTTTGTTGGCAATGGCATAAGTAATGTCTGCAAGAAAGTGTTTACAGATCAGATGGTTGCTTCACCAACACTTGGGGCCTGGTACTTCCTAGGTGAGATCTTGCTGCTGACTGATTTCCATTTCTCTAATATAATGAATGAAAATCTGATAAACATTACACCTGTTTTATTTGTTTGTTTTTAATGAAGGTATGGGTATGATGGAGGGTCAAACTTTGTCTGAGGCACAAAGTGAATTCAGAGACAAATTCTGGGAATTTTACAAGGTATGTTGCATGTGTTCATAGTTCAACCTCTAATTATCTTCGTAGCTGACAGCTTTTCACAACTTGCTTTTTTTAGGCAGATTGGTGTGTTTGGCCAGCAGCTCAAATGGTAAACTTCTACTTCTTGCCACCCAAGTATCGTGTTCTTTATGTGAATATAATTACTCTGGGATGGGACACCTACCTCTCCTACCTCAAACACAGTAAGACATGTTTGCATCTATCTCATTACACAAGGCATAACTAAATACATTTGTAGTATTTACTGAACAATGATGGTGTTATATAATTATTACTCTTGTCTTGGTGGCCAAGTTTTACTTTAGCGATTGGCAGGTTTAAAATGAAAGCATGGGTGTGAGCTTCCTTTTGACAAGTGATGCATGACATTTGTGTTTTTCAAGGAGACCAAGTAGAGGCCAAAAGAGAAGCTGAATGAACTGAGCGAAGACGTCTGAAGACGAGGAATATTTCTAAACACTGCCTTGAAAAATAAATCAGATTATGTAAGACTGTTAATGTTCTGTTTTTTTATTTTATTTCATATAATAGAATCAGTATAATTTTATCCAGTAATGCCAGGTACATTGCACATTTTGTTTTAATGTGTTTGTATTTATTTTTGAATAATATAAAAGTGTTGAATGTAATTTTAAATAAATGTAACTGTCTGAAATGAGTCTATTGGCATATGAAGAAAAATTTATAAAATCATACTGTTTACAAATATATTCTTATGATTTCACCAAGTACATCATGTTCCTGGATCAATAGAGTGCCGAAGGTATGATGTCACTTTGTAGGACAACTCGGAAGTTAGCAGCGCATGGGTTCCCTCGATAAAAAAGCTATGCATTTTCTCCACAGACTTTTGGAAAATCTTAAAAAATAAGATCTGTGTTCAACAAAAAGTTGTGACCCTTACACGTTTTGTCTATCAAGATCTTCTTTACAAGTTAATCCAAAATGTATACATTTTGAAGCCTATCTAAAATTAAAAAAAAAAAACACAAGCAGACAAAATAAAGTTTAAAAGAAAAAACATGTTTTTTTATGTCATAGATGAAAACGTGAAAATATTTAGAGGCTTTGTTATCCACAGACATTATTTCAGGCGATTTAGCAACAACCCATCCAAGGGCGAGGGAACCAGAAGTGCTAAAATGCTAACTCATTTCGGCCTACAAAGTGTCTTAATAACTTCGGGACTCTATATAATTGTTCCTGGAACAACTTTCCAATCAAGCATTCAGATTTGAGGGACAAGTTTACAGTTTATGTCAAGTTTAGGCTTAGAACCAGGGTTCTAAGTTCATTATTTCCCCCTGATTTTAGGGGTTATGGGTAGAGTTAGGTTTAGTTGTAGAGATATGGTTTGAACCATATTTTCGGACAGGAATATTGTTCCAGGATCAACAAAATATGTCGACCCAGAAACAGGTCTTGGCAAAATCACATTGACTGGTATACGCCTTATTCACGGCAGCGCCATCTTTGATTTTTAATGAGAATGAAAGCGAGGCTGTGAGGGATAGACTTGCATCTCTTCAATGGGCTGTACTGTTATTTATTGTGTTTTCGGATTGTTCTGCTCATGAAACACTGGAAAAATATCTTTCCAAGAAATGTCAGTTGACAAAAAACTCCCGACAATGTAAGCTATGAAAATTGTAAGTAATATAGCCGCTTTATTCAGCTTTTTACAGCGGATGCCTTTGGAAACACGGTAAGTCTGTCCCTCACAGCCTCACTTTCATGCCTGTCATGGCGCTGCTCTGAATAAGGTCTGTATACCGATTATATAGTTATAGTCCTTCACTGTAAGAAATATTTTCATTTTTGGTTAAGCATGTTTATAATCACAATAATGTGCCAATATTACTGTCATATATACTGTATGAATGCTGTACCATAGGCATATGCTTCATTAGCAGTAATGAGGCTGGTTGTTTGTGTGCTTCTGGCCAGTTTCTGTTCCAAAGTTATTTTGTTCATAATTTGCCTTAACATGTACATTTTTACTTAATTTAATTTTTTAATGAAAATGTTTGCTAGACCCTTTGATATCTATTCTACATTGCCCTTCGTTTGACACTGTTTTGTAATGGAAGACAATAAAATTATTTTGTGTTTTGAATATTACAAATTTAAAGAATGATTTTTTTATACATCGTAACTTGTACTTTGAGGTTGAAATCCAAATTTGAAGGAGCATGTTTACTCCTCTATCAGGGCATCCATCTTTCAGTTGTGTGTGTGACAATCCTTGACTGCACGTGAGCTTCTCTGCAATCAGCACAGGCAAACCTGCTGAGTGAGAGTGGCAGGACGCTGTCTTTATAGGGGCTTCCAAACTGATAAAACAGGTGTTCTGATGGTGTTCTCACAAACAATTTGATTTGGAGCTATTTAGGTTACTTGCCACAGGATTGGTAAACAAACTTTTTTGGAAGTGACCAGAATGTGCAACTCTTGGGTTGAAGATATGCTTCAAAATTATTTGAAGAAAACCTCAATACATCTTGCCATGTCTTCTCAGTTTTAGAAGTAAGTGTTATTTGTTGCACACTTATCCTATTGTTTATTGAAATAATTGTTTTGTTTAATATTGATCGTTGCTTCATGTTTCTTATTATCTTTATATTTATTTAACTCTGTAGCCATGTAGAATGTGTTTATTTCAGGAACCTGAAAAATTGAGTTTCTACTTTTTGAACAAATCCAGTTTTGTTGTTGTTGTTGTTAACTGTATTTTCAGAAGTGCCTCCAACAATTGCTTACAACAATATGAAGAGAAGTTCTTCTTTGAAGTCTTTCTGGACATCAGAGGTAGGTCATTTCAGTACATCAGCGCTCACAGTTATCCTCTTGTTTGATTCTTAAAAGATAAATGTAGATTCACTGTGACTGTGTAGATTATCACAAATTTATAATAGGCTACAAAATTAAAGCGTACCCTAATATTTACATTATTATGCATTATATTATTCAAATAAAACGCATACTGTCTGGCAAATTAACATTAGATAGTAGGTTAGTATTAGTTTATTATTTGATAGTAATTATTACTATTACAATAGTCTTTTGAGCTGTTCTGGAGAGAGATAATGTGTGGGTGAATATTATTTATTTGTTCTGTTTAATTCAGAGAGAATGGGACACTGTGAACCAGCAGGTCCTGAACGGTTCCAAACCCATGCCCAGTCACCGTACAGTTAAGAGGACATTTTCAGGGGTCCTTCAGCTTCCCCGTCTGTCCCGTCGGCTCTCGGCTCAGGGAGATTCAGACATCACACCACGCAAGGCCATCTTCTCTCTCGGCAATGGCATCGACTTTGATGCTTTTCAAAGTTCCTGGTAAGCCGCTCTTTGGTTTTATAACTCGAATAACGTAAACTTAACCTGATCATTTGTCGAAAGGATTTCAGTTCGAGTGCTTTGTAACGTTATCTGTTTGTGAAGAAGAACGAAGAAAAACTTGTTTTTCATCGTATGTTGTAATCAAGGTTAAGGTTAGATGAATTTTACACTAAAACAGATTTTAGTCGATAACTTTTCGTCATGTAACGAAAACATGCCTACCTGTTTTCAAAATAGTGGCTTCACGTCAGCAACTTTAGACGGAGGCCAAGCACATAGCCTACTGTTTCAATGTTGTGTTGGCCTTTGTTGGTTCTTGACTATGAGGTATATTGTCTTGTAATTTAACATAATGACTGAACTACATCTGTATTGTAATAATTGTTGTTAAATGACCACTTTTTATCGTTAATTGATTTATCCGGAGCCAGAGATTGACGTTTTGCATTATAGGGACAGCAGAGGGAGCTATTGTTCCCTAAAGACCACCAGCAATAAAACAGTCAGGACAAAATCATGGACAAAACAAAAAAAAATCAGTAATAATAATAATAAACAGAGTCAGTAAATGTGTACATTATGACATTTTTTTTATTATTATTTGCCAGAATAACTTGTTAGGTAGCTTTAGTTATTTTAATATATAAAATAATAAAAAGTCAAAAGAAACAAACATATTCTTTATTCACTTAAGTTAATTGTGCATTGCTATATAATTTAAAGAAATGTTGCTATGAACTATAGGTCTCCTCTAATGACTACCCAAATACCAAGGGTTAAAACTTCATTACAGTTGCTCCAAAAAAAAAAAAAAAACATTTTTTGACACTTACAGAAAGTCACACTTAAAACATGTTAATGTCATTGCACAGACAAACCACCAAACCAAGTGACAACTGCAAACAAATTATGATAGAGCTCAGTGCTGGGCGATATGGCCGAAAAAATCATATCTCTATGCCCAAGGCTGCATTTATTTGATCAAAAATATATACAGTAATAACATGCAATACAATTCAAAATAACTCTCTTCTAATTTAATAATGCTTATTTAAAGTGTAATTTATTCCTGTGATGGCAAAGCTGAATTTTCAGCATCATTACTCCTTCAGAAATCATTCTAATATGCCGATTTGGTGGAATTCCACATTTTTGTGGAAACCATAATCATTTTTTTATTTTCGTATTCTTTGATGAATTGAAAGAAAAGCATTTATTTGAATTGGAAATCTTGTGTAACATTATAAATGCTTTAATTAATACATTTATAAATTTAATGAATCCTTGCTAAATAGAATTATTTAATAAAACATATATATATTTCGGACTCCAAACTTTTACATGGCAGTGTATATTGAAAAAAAGTCGAATTTTTTTAAATATAAAGTTTTAACAATGTCTAACAATGTCTAAATATCCTTATGCAATTCTTATGCAGTATGCAAATCCTTTTTTTGGGCACTGTATGCATATTGTTTTTGCGTACACAACTCATCCGGCAGGATCACAGGGAACCTTTTCCCCTCTGATAATCAAAGCCCATGGGGCCCGTGATAGAGGGCCATCGTGACATGAGCCATGCTCTCTGTCTGACTTTATCTGACTTTGCTTTTTATAGTCAGAGCTTTCATGTGACTTCTCCTGGTAAACCTAGAGCATGTGAAAGGCATACGCATTTCTCGAAGGGAATCTGTTCTCCCCGATCAGCTCAGCTCAGCTCAGCTCTGCGTTGCGCCGCTTGTGCTTTGGCTTTTCAGCGCGCCAGGGGACTGGAACAGGAAGTCATTATAGACCAGTAAACACTGGACCTCGCACACTAATAGTCTTAATGCGGAGGTGGGGCCACTTAGAGAGCTCTATCATGGAGTCCTCTCATTGTAAATCACACTGCCATATTTAGTCTGTTGGAGGGAAGTCTTCCAAGTTATGTAAACAAAGCGAGTTCACGAGGGGAGATGTTCCATTGCTATGATGGCTGGTTACGTTAATGTGCCTGTGATCTCTGAAGCAAGGCTGGATTTCTCAGCTCTAGTCAAGGGTGAGAGATGTAGACTGTGGTTTTTGTGTTGAGAAAGCAGTGTGAGTGAGCGACTCGTGCCATGACTAGACAGTCGTTCTGCCAGTTGTGAAGACGCACGAACTCTGCTGTCATGAGTGACGTGAGTTCGGAAGAGGAGAGAGCTCAGAGACCCTCGCATCTCAAGCTTAAGGGAAACTCTCCCACGGGCTCCCCCAAAATGTCTCCGCGGGACTCTCCTCGGAGTTCGCCCCGCAACTCGCCCCTGCTCTTCCGGAGGCTGATGATGAACCGCAGCATTGCTTTGCAGAGACGCTTCACTTTGGCTCACACTCCCAGGTAGGATCTGA